TTATTCTTATTTGTCCTTAGTCTTCGCTACTAACTCAAACATGAATATATAAACAAGTAACGTGCATCCGACAAAGGAAGCATATATTAGATTTCCAAAATTAAACAGTTGTGAAGTAAGCAATGATACATGCATTTAAAATTATAAAATAGATAAACCAGATACCATAGTATATTTAAACTATAAAATAAATCAAACAGGAATTGACAAAGAATAATATCCGGTTCGGGCTTTATTAGCAACCGTAATTAATTATGCATATCTATTTAATTTGATAAAATACAGTATTATCACTTATTCAAACTTTAATTCCATGATAGGTAATAGGGTGATAGGTCTTTACTTGATTTGACACCAAAAACTAGATTTTCATTGCGCCTACGGGCGGTCCCTGGGTTCCTTAAATTTTTTATCGGAAACTGAAATGCGCTTACAGTACCTACACATGTCCTAAATAACCCAAAAATAAGACCTAGGGCCTACTCGGCCAATATTAGAATTCCGACACGGCGGCTCCACCGTGCTCCGGCGACGGCGTCGCCGCTCACAGAGGTGATCCGCCTCGGGTTGGCTGTTTTCGGCCGAATTCAGCCAAACTTGCATCGGTTCCTGTGAGAAAACACACTTAGGGCTCTCGGTGGGTCGAAAAAATACGAAAAACCGAAACTTACTAGTGGAGGGGCTCTCCGGTGTGGCGGCTCATCTGGCTCACGTCGTGGTTGGGTGTTTTGCTCCAGTCAACCTGTAGAGGAGGAAACGGTGATCACAACGGTGGAAAAATCACATCGAACAGGAATCGGAAAGGGTCTAATCGGAGACAAAAATTGAGACACCTCGCGACGGCGTTTTTCGACCAATTAGCCAGTGCTTTCGCTCCAATTTAGCCATAGGTGAGTTTAGAATCAAATTCTGAGCAAAAAGTAGAATTTTTTACCTCGTTTGGCGGTCATAAATTGCTCCGGTACGACGGCCGATGGCAGCAGTCGGCTCCCCGGCGGCTAGGGTTAGGGTTTGAGTGCGGATGAGGTTATTTATACCCATTCGCTTTTGATATGAGCCGTCCATTACTTTTAATCTGTACCGTCCGATCGCGATTAAATATAGAATGAATCTAGGCCGTTCATCGTGATTTAATCTGTACCGTCCGTACGCGATTCAATCTGAACTGTCTGTGCGCGGTGCAATTTGGGCCGTCTGTGCGCATTTTTTGTCTGGGCTGTTCGTGCGCACGAGAATGGATCTCAGCCGTTCAATCAGGCGCACACGGATCGCCCACTTGGCTCCCTCCCGTGTGGCCTCCCGCGTCAGCGTCTTGGTTGGCCGGGGTTGCTGACCGGACAGCTGACGTGACATAATTTTTATAAATTACGTTTTGACTCCCGGTTTCCGATTTTTCTTTCAAAAATACTATCAGAACCCAAATTTTCACCCATTTTTTCCAGAATTATTTTCAATTAAATCCCTAAATAATTTTTTACTCCTTATTATTATTATTATTATTATTCCATTAAGATAAATTAAACTAAATTAAATTCATATAAATTACATAAATAATAATTATTTTCATACGATAATATTAATAAATGAAAACAAAAGGTTGGGTGTTACAGTTGATGATAATTAAAATAATAAATTCTTAATTTCATATTGTTATCTCTCTGTATATGTGCATAAATTTAGGGTCAATATTACTATAGTTATATTGTGAAAATAATAATAATAATAATAATAACTAAAATAAATTGCATACTATGAAATAGAAATTTTGATTTTTAATTTTTAAAAAACAATCTGTTAAATTATTTTGTAAATTTTAAATTGTTACAACTTAATTATTAATATTTTTGTTATAATTTGATCTATTATATTTTTAATTTATTTTAAATATATAGTTTTATTCATTTTCTTAGTGAGAAAATCTTAAAATGGTTATATATCATTCTTCAACAATTTAAAGAATATATCAAAAAATAAATTTGAATAATTAATTAAATTAAAAACTATATAAAAAATTAAATTATAAGTCAATTCTTGCTCAATATATATATATATATAAAATATATCCTCTTTCTTTTTTGAAATAAAAAATAAATAAAAATAAAATATATAATATATATCAAGCAATATGTCCTCACGCGCTAGAAGCCGCATTTTCCCTCCTAAACTCCCATTGCTCTTTCTTCATTTGAATCCTTTCTTGCAGCTCGTCTGTTTATGTAAAAACCTAGACTGTCACTGACAGAGATGGAGAGAGATGACTATGTGTTTATGAAGATAAGAGACGCTACTACTGCTATCAACCAGAAAGTTAATCTGATCGGTGTCGTTGTCGAGTTCGGTTTCCCTAAGAAGACCAGCGGCACTGGTAAAACCCTAGATTCCTACGCTCCAAAGTTTTTAGAAGTAGAAGTGGATTTCTCGTGTCTCCACCTTGAATAATCTGATTTTTCACTTGTATAAGGACCATTTTCCTGAAGCGCTGCACCAATAACTGATGGCATTTTATTGAATCTCAAGAGTCCTATAATTGCTAGTTTCTGGTGGACCAAATGACTAAATGATACCAACTTGTCTTGTTTAATGTAATTTCTCGGTTCATTAATTTTCTAAGTTATTTTCCGTGGTACTTATGGTGTTACGAAATACTTTCACCGGCGATGATGATAAAAAGGCCGGGCTTACGGCTGCTCCCGCATACCAGCTGGTTGGTAGTAGAATGATGTAAGTTGCAAGTAAGGTGTCTGCTCTGAGCCGGTCGATACTCACTTAAATATCTTTAAAAAAACTTAGAAGAATTCCTAGAAGATATATCTTTTGCAGCATCTTTAAATAATCTCTTCACTTGGTCTTCTTTTCCTGGGAAAATATTTGGCTTTAATTTGATAAGTTTTGCTTGACTATTGTCCCCGGTTTTCACCCAATTAGTGTTTAAAATTATATGTCCTTTAATGGGATCACTTGTAACCCAATCTTTTGTTCTGTCACTTGACTATTATTTGTTAACTGAATTTAATCAGGCTTCTGATTTAACTCATTTTCTCGTGCATATAATGACCTCATGGGCCAAAATAGGCATTGGAGTCCTGTAATTGCTAGTTTTTGGTGGGCCATTACGTTTTCATGGGATGAGTAAATGATACTAATTTGTCTTGTTTAATGTAATTTCTCGGTCCATTAATTTCTAAGTTATTTTCTGTGGTACTTATGGTGTACAAAATGCTTTCACCGGCAGTGATGATAAAAAGGCCGGGCTTACGGCTGCTTCCACCCACCAGCTGGTTGGTAGTAGAATGATGTAAGTTGCAAGTAAGGTGTTTGTTCTGAGCCGGTTGATATTCACTTATATCTCTTAAAACTTAGAAGAATTGCTAACAATATATCTTTTGCATCCTCTTTTAATAGTCTCTTCACTTAGTCTCCGTTTCCTGAAAAAATATTTGGCTTTTAATTTGATAAGATTCACTTGACTATTGTTCATGGTTTTCAACCAAGTAGTGTTTAAAATTATGTCCTTTAATGAGATCACTTGTAACCCAATCGTTTGTTCTGTCACTTGAATATTATTTGTTGACTGAAATTTAATCAGCCTTTTGATTTCAACTCATTTTCTTGTGCATATCATGTGTTCATGGCCAAAATAGGCATTGGGGTAACTAATAAAGTTAACCAAGAATGGGCCGGGAGACTGTTAAATGTAATCCACCTAATGAATTCTAACCTCTTTGTATCGTTAGCCTTGCAAAAACTTGCTTTTCCCCCCCAAAAAAAAGTCTGTTTAAACTCTTTCTGCCCTTTAGTTTATATTCTTGTTTAAGTTTCTTCCAGAGTCAAACAAATGGCTAAGGATGAATTTTCAAGTTTAATGGATAAGATAAAAAATTTTGTGTCAGTTTTTTGGAATCCATATGTGGTAATTGGTAGAGAATCTTTAAGAATTTTTCTTTTGAAATATGAGAGTCTTAAAGAAATTAGATACAAGAAATCAAGAATCTTGTGGTATATTTCTTTAAGGGGGTGTTCAGATTGTGGTTTATGTTTTGTATCCCTTGCTTGCCTTATGCAGTATTAATTTGGATGAAAATTCGTGTGTTTCTTCTGCTTGACATATAATCTCCATTTATTATCATCATTGGTAGAATTGACTTTTATTTCAAAAAAAAAAATTATCATCGTTGGTAGAAGTTGAAACTTAACTTTTTGATGGAAAAATAAAAGAAATTGACTAAGTGCATCGTGAATTGGTACATATCCTCGAAGACTTGATATTTTCCCGGACGCTTTCATGTCCATGTTATTCCTTTTCTGGATGGAGTAATGCAATATTTAAAATCTATGTGGTCTCTTTATGCACTCTCCCCTTTCTCAAACTTTTCCTTTTGTTAGTAGTGTTCTTGTAGCAGGTCTTCTTTATATTTTCCATATGCTGCTTGGTTTGACATAGAACTGCATATGGAGAAAAGAAAGCATATTCTGTTTTAAGTTGGATGAATTGGAGTGTAAGATCCACAAGAAACCATTGTCCATTTCTTTAGGAGACAATGCATTTAAGGTAATGGTAGCATCTACCCATGCCATTATCATGCACATGTATCAAAATTTGATGATTTTCCTCATGGATCATGGCAAGCATTAATAAGTGAAAGGCTCTGAACCGGAGTTAATTGGATGTTAACCGTGCTGGAGGTGCACTTCCAGTGGATTAAAGATCTTTAATTGTCTGTATGCTTGGGGGGCATTGTTCTTTTCTTTGATAGAAAAAGAAGAATTATTACGAAAAAAGAGAGACAAATACAAACATGGAGGATAAGACATATTCCTCACACTGTATCACTAGAAGAAACAACAAAGACAATGAAAACGGTCATCCTGTGGGAGGATGAACGATTGCCTCTCAATACTAATGGAGCTTAGCAAGAGTATGGTTAGAATAGTTCCCGCTTTAGCCCGTAAAAGTGGCCGGAAAAGTCAATCTCTCCCACATCTCCTGAAATGACGAGAAACAATCATAAAAAATTGTACGATTGAGCAAGCCAAAGAATCCAAAAACCTGCAAGTATGGGCACCTGCCAAATTGGTTTAGAGGGCATTGTGCATTATTTAGAATTTTATTAACTGCAATATGTGTGACTTAATAGGGGACTTTAAATCAATTATTTCTCCTCCTCACCAATATTTTGCTTTTATGGCAGTGAAGAAGTATACGTGGATGATATGCATACACTGTGGATATTATCTTTTAGATTTAATTTTTTCAGTAAATATCTAAGCTTTTTCATTTCTACACGGTGGATTTTATATGTTAGCTTTTATTTATTCAATGAATACCTGAGTTTTTTTTTCTAGTTTTCCATTTTTGTGTATGCATAATTTAATTGATCCTTAACTGTCATTGTGGAAGGAGTGTGGTTAAACATTTTATTTTTTTCCGTTGTGTATGTGTTGCTTAGCAAGCATTTATTATTTGTTTGCAGATTGCTTTTGTAAGCTAAAAATAGTTGATGAATCTCATCCAAAAGCTGGGATTTGGGTTAATGTTTTTGCTCCAACCATGGAAATGCTACCTCATGTTGGATTAGCTGGGGACATAATTCAGCTTTCACGTGTCATGGTATAACCTGATTACAGCTTTCTTTAAATTACTCCTTTTCCAGTATATTTCTGCCTCATGGTTCTTTGGCTTCTGATAGGCGAAACACTTGCAACGAGTTAACTCTCTACTTGAGTTCTGGTTGAAGCAACTTATTGAAAATATTGAGCATATGTAACATTTTCATGTTTCCTTATGGTCAACTGTGTGAACCATTTGACCTTGTTGATGTTTCTTGTGTTTTCTATGCTTGAAGATGAAACGAACGTCTGGGCCAACGTCTGGCCTATTAGAATGTGTTTAACCATTATAATGAAGTAGATTGTAATTTGCTTATAGTTTAACGGGGCTTGTGTGAGTAATTTGTACTGCAAAGAAGGAAAAAAAAGGTGGCAATCAAGTGAAGTTTGTTTGCTGTTCCCTTGTGGTGTAACTGTCTCTTGTATAAGATATTTCCACATGTGAACTTTTAGGAAGATTGTCGCAGATTAATATTTTGCAATTGGCAACCATCCACATTAAACACGATGAGGTACCAGGTGTTGAGTTGGGAACCTTTTCTTAAAAATTCTGGCCTAGCTCTAGCAATTATTACTGAGGGCTGGATGTGATATTTCTTGTTTCTATGTTTATATTGCTTCTGTTGTTCTTTTTTTTTTTTTAATTATTTTTCATGTTAGCCTTTGCATGTCGAGAGGCTTTTGAACGTGAGGTATAGCCTTGCACATCCATAGTAAGAAGATCTTTATCATTACTAAGCAGCCTTGGAAATTGCAAATATCTTCCCCATTATTCCATTCTGAGGCCATGTTGTGCTTAGTAAGTTGCTGTCTGTTTGAATCTAGAAGCAAGTATTTTCTGTAGCAGTTATTAAACTAGCATAGGAAGTGCATCTTTCTACCACGAAAGAAAGATGTTTGGTTTTGAAACTTCCTGTACAATAAGGATTTCCAGGTTCAGGGAAGCATCAAATTGCAGATTCTCAAGGTAACATGGAATCACTATCTCTTGGATAAATACGTACAAAACTAAAACATAGATTCATCTGAACTCTAATGAAAAACCCTGATGTTTTAATCCGTAAAGCCAGGGTAAGATATCTAATAATTCCAACAACTTGAACTGCCAAGTCTGAAACTAGGTAGAGACTCCATGATCAAAGATTATTATTGAGAAAAATGTGGACATAAGATTGAGAAGATCTTATGCTCACCAAGTGGTAGAGACTCCATGATCAAAGATTATTATTGAGAAAAATGTGGAGATAAGATTGAGAAGATCTTTTTTCATGAATGTTTGTTGAAATTAGGATAAGTTTCGGAAGAATTTTCTTATTGTAACTGCACTTGTAAAAAAAAAGCAATATTGCCTGGAGTGTTAGCTGTGGTGGAGCAAGTTGTATTAAAATATGTTTTGATCACATCTGCTTAAGCTAAATTTTGTTTATGCAGATGAAAACATTCAAGCAGGAAATATATGCTGTTTTCAATAAAAAGTTCTCTTCCTTTGCCCTATACAAGGGGAAAGATGATGAAGATTTCGTTCCCTACCAATATTCTTCAAGATTTTGCCAGAGAGAACAAGACAAGGAGTTTATAGCTGGTTTGAGAAGATGGTTGGTTGATTTTAAATTTGAGGAAGGTAAACTCCAGAATAAGCTGTAGATTCATTTCTTACTTCTATCCGTTGTTCTCTATAAATAGAGGACTAAATTGGAACTTTGAGGATAAATGTTTTTCTTTTCCTAATTTTCTGTTAGAAGGTATTTTTGATGTTACAAGTTAAAACCTTATCCAAAGGATATTACAAAATCTGGCACTTTGAGAATTCACTTCCTCAGGAATCTTTATACTTTATTGTCATTGATGTTATGTGAAGGGCAATTTTTCTAGATAGGCTCTGTTGTATATTTTGTTCATATTGCAGTTGTACTTTTTTCCTAAAACCTATTGTACATGTTGTGCATATTGGACAATTTGACTTGCGAAGTATAATAGTTTAAATATTTATTTATGTTGATTTTAGGGTCAGATAACTTCTCCTTCTTGAGAGAGATCAAGGAAGGTGCACGTGTTAATTTAGCTTGCAAGGTAGTTCGATCATATATTGGTTTCTATTTGGATCTGAGTGTTTTTTCAATATTTTCTTTAAAATACTTATTTTTCTTGAGGAGACTATATCATTTATGCGGATGTATTTATCATTTCTTTCTGATCAAGTTAGAAGCATGTTTGCCTTGAATACTTGATCTTCTCGAGGATCTTCGAAGTGCTTTGTTTCTTTGTTTCATTAGTATTATTTTCTGATTCTACTAAAAATTACTAATTTTGGATTGGTTGAAGCACTAATCTATTATTTTTTAATGGTTTTCCCCATGAAGATTCTCCACACCAGTGAAATCAATAAAGATGAGTTGATGCTATATGTTTGGGATGGAACTGATACTCCACCGGCCAGTATTCATAAGAAGTGAGTTTATATCAACTACTGATGATATAGCTCAAATTTTATGATGCAGACTAGTTGTTGCTAACCCTTTGTTAGTCTTGTTAAAGTGACCAGTACTCCTTTTTGGCTTGTGAATATATTTTGGTTCTCTTCTTTGGTTCAAAAAACAAATTGTTTATGTGTGGTAGATCTTTCTCAGCTTAAACAAGCTTATGATCTCTCATTTATGTATTATGGAAAGAGGTTTTGTTACATCCTAAACGACACTGTGTGGGAGAATAGCTGCTTGGAGTCTCCTACCATTTCTAACTTTTTTCCCTGGCTGTTATGAACAATGACGTGGTACTACAATATGCTGGGAAATGTTATCTGAGATGCCAGCTGGCATTTTGTACCATTAGGTTGTCTTTTGACCACTATACCCGACGGTTGGGAGCAATTTAACTATTGTATCAATGATAGCAAGCTTAAAATGGAGACATGGAGTGTATGGTTTTTGAAAAAGAGCAATGTTAGTGTTTTGGAGATTGACAGTAATTGATGTGGTAGAGGAGTTTAACAAGTTTAAACAATAAGGAATTATTATGGAGTTCCCAGAGAGGTCTGAAGAATTGAAGTAGGTGATGCTGAGGACCAATCCTCGTCTAAATGAAGCTTACTTCATATCTAGCTTTGTTAGTGAGTTAAGTAAAGAGTTAAGGCCTATGATCAAGTTTTACAAACCCCAAAAGATCAACATAGCCTCTGAACAAGCTTAATTGCAGTATCAATATATTGAAGCTATGTTGAAGCGCCAAAAGAGCACCATGGACCACCCCCAGCTGATCCCAAATTGTTATTGTCCTTACTGATAGATCTGGTTATGGGTCTATGAACATAGAAAGAGATAGGATTTTTTGATGTTTTTGAGTTTTTCTTCCCTTACCTATCTTTAATCTGGTTTTAAAAGCTGGTTAAAAGAAAATCCTATGATGTTTTCACCAAGAAAGTACTCAATACTTGGATATAACTTTCCATACATAAGCTGTTAAAAGAGGCAGCATATGTTTTTACACGAATGAAGGAAGGGGAGTTATTCTGGAAGTTACTTCCAGAATCAGCATAACCACCCATCTGTTTCACTCATTGTTGGTTTCTTCTAAACACACACAAATGCAACACAAACACAAAAAACAAAACACATAGCACTGGAAATACACCTATTTACTAATTACTTAATTATTTTACATTTAATTTCCATGACATAAATACCACTAAGATACAAGTTGAAACACAAACACCATAACAAATAGATGTTGGCAATTTCCCACCATTTTTTCCTTTTTTCTTTTTTTTTTTCTTTTTACTGTTTGGCAATATAGAAAAGTGCATTGTACTAGAATATTGTAGGAAATATGGGCTGGGTTATCAGCTGTCTTTTTGTACCATTAGGTTGTTATTTGACTGCTGTACCCAATGATTGGGAGCAGTACAGATATTATACCAAAATTACCAGAATGAGTAATCAGAACTATCACTATTTTGGACTCTGAAAGTTCTTCTCTCTGTTTATATTCTATTCTATATATTCTTCGTCTCTCCAGTCTCATTATATTATGTCCTTAACTAACCCTAGAGCCTGCGACACTGATTTGAATCCCTTACGAGTCAAGGTCCTGACTGCTGTTTTCTTTGATGATAAGGTATGCCATTTTTGACAGTGCTGTCTAATTATGTTGTTATGCTCACTAATGCATTCTGGCTGATGTAGTTCTGAATTTATTTGATATTATTTGCTGCTTCACCAACTCAATTTTGAAAATACTTGAATAAGTTTCTTGTTCCCTAGAGTTGTAGCTGTCTGAGATTTGAATATGTACTATATTTGTGTGCATATCTGCATGTGAGCATATATCTTTTCTAGTTTTTGGTGGAAACCTTTAGTTAGTTGCGGCTAATAGTTACTTGGATCGTATAAACTGCTTGGGAGTTGGTGTTACCTTGTAGAAAACTATAACGTTATCTCTATTGTTAGCTTACATGTGAAGTTGCCCCATCCATTACTTATACAAGTCTTACTGAAAGGACTTCTATACCATTTAAATGCAAAAGCATGTTGTTACATGATTCAGTAAGCAACTATCAATTCTCAAATTAATTCCTAAATATTGTTAAATCGCCTTTCTTTCATGTCCATTTATTCAGCCTATGCTTGGAGATATCTTCTTAATTTCACCAGTCGACCAATTACTTATGCTTAGTGATATCTTCTTAATTTTGCCTGTGGACCCAATTAATATTAGCATCAAGAACTTCTATATGTGGTTTCTAGCCTCTTTGATGGGTAAGGGCTATCTTCTTAGTTTCTGTAAGTGTCTTCAAATGCTCTTTGGTTTTTGTATATATTTATGGAACAATATTCTTCAATGCTTTTTGATCTTGCGTCTCTCTTACTTCAAATGCTCTTTGGTTTTTGTATATATTTATGGAACAATATTCTTCAATGCTTTTTGATCTTGCATCTCTCTTACTTTCTATACCACCTTCTTTTTGTGAACTAGAGCCTTGTCAATAGCTTGGCAATGTACTGATAATTTTGTCTAGCTGGTTTGAGAAAAAAAAAATTTCTCTCCTTTGTTGTGCAAATTTGACCATAAGATGAGTCAGGAAGGTATGTTGAATGAAAAAGTGTAAGAAATGGGGGATCAATTTGATGGCCAAGGAGCAAAAATGTGACTGCTGTAATTTCAAACTCAAAGGGAAGAAATCTGAGTGTTACTGGTAATCCTTATTTTTCAAGGATATTTCATGATATCAAGGTTATACAAGCTCTCTTTATCTATAGAACTTGCAAAACTATGTGGCACCCGATTTTATAAGTTGGGTTGGAGTTGAATAGCTCTATAAGTTGTTTGCGTATTTGGTTTTAGTCCTTTAGATTTATGTCCTCTAAAATTAGTAAGCATTGTTGACTGTGGACAACAGGCTAGAGGAAGAAAGAGATAATCAGCTTGCTCTACAGTTGGAGCCCTTTCCTCTGTCAAGAAGCATACTGTGCATGTTTCCTACTGTTGGAACTGTCTTTCGAGTGGTCCTAGACAAAGCCATGGAAAAGTATGTTCTGCACTCACTAAAAATTGGTGAATGGGTAAAACTTTTGGATTTACGCTGTGAAGTAAATGCTGGATTATGGTTTGGTGTCTTGAAATCCGATACGAAGCTTCAATATATACCGAAAGAAGATGATCTCATATTAAGTCTTGAAAGGTTTGTCCTTTCTATTGATAGATTAGTTGATGAACATATTCATTATATCCATTTATTTTATGTTTTCAGCAGATTTTTTTATCTTTTATCATTTTTTTCCTTTCAAAATCAGCAAATATAATGAGCGATTGTCATTACAATGGGGGCGGTTGCCCTACTGGTGCTTCCCTTGGCATTCACGACTCACAGGTTTTAATTATGGATTTGCAATTGGTTACTTAATACTTTCTGTTTAGATTTTCTTACTTGACACTAGATGAAATTTTATTTGGACAACACCACCTTTTTTTTTTTTTGAAACTTCCATGATGAGGTTGTTCTGTTGACGTCCTTTTGCTGACAGATGTTGATGCTGATGCTGATCATGCACCATTCCTCACGTTAATGGATGTTCTCACTTATTCAGAGGTACTGTGTTGTTGAGCTTCTTTTATTGTACATGGAGAACATTTTTTTAAGCAGTACATGGGCTATGAAAATCCAAATTCTATTCCTTTTAGATAAGTTTTAAGAACAATTTATTATTACTATTACTATTACTGTTACTAAAGAGACAAATAGATACTTATATAGAACATGCTATTAAATTTGTCATACAATTTTTCTTTATTACTACTCTTGTACTTTTGTATTATTAGCACTCTATAACCTAATCCCATGTGGTTATTAATAAAATCACCGTAAATATTTCTTTCATACCTGTTCATGGTATCAGAGCCGATCATCAACAAAAAAATATCATTTTCTTCTTCAAAATCTTTTTGTCTTCCCTCAGCATATGCTCTTCTTACTCTACTAGAGCCGACTCCTCTTCTTCTTCTTTCAATTTTTCCGTGCTTTTTATCTTTCTTTGGAGGTTCCGACATTAAGAATTATGTTAGCAAGCAACTTGATTTTACTAATTATTTGGTCTTTCCGTTCTTGGTTTCAACGTTTCACATCTTTTCTTTCTAGTCAAGGATTCATTTTAAGTCGAACGGACATGTTGATGTTTATCTACAAACATGGTTCTTATATTGGTTATAATCCTGTTATATGTTAATGGTATTATTTAACTGCTGATTCGAGTATTCTCTATTATTTTTTTTTGGGTATCCAAGTTTCTCCTAATAAAGAGGGTCTCTTTCTTGACCAAGTATACTATGGATTTATTGCATCAACATATTATGGAGGATTGTTAGCCACTAACCACACTTGTACTATCTTGTAGTTAGATTGGTAAAGACTTTAGTTTTTTGCTTCGGGTGTTACTTCATATTGCAATATTTTTGGATCAGCGATATCTTACCCTGACTTGCCCCGGGATTTCCTTTGCTAATAATCAAGCTTACCAACACATGCATGAATCTCAGGGGGGCTATTTCCAAGATATAAAACGTATATTATGCTAGATGTGGATTTGATAAAGGGTTGCCTTGATCTTGAGCGTTACTCTCTCTCTCTAAAAACTCTCTCTCTAGTAATCTCTCTACTCATCTTCCTCACTCTTCTCAGCTCCCTCATTCTTCTCCAACTCTCCCTTCTACTTTCATCACACAAGCTCCATCATCCCACTCTCGAGGGCCTTGTGCTACAACCGACTGAAAACCACAGCTCCTCCTAAAATGCTTCCAGAAAACGTCAAACGCTTTGTTCAAATTGGGAGGAAAACCTTTGACTTTGTTTGTGATGGAAAGAAACCTGATGGCTAAGAATTTACGAAAATAGTAGAGGAAACCGTATATCTATCACTCTTAACAAGACCGAGGTGGAATGGATCGTTGATTGCCTAAAGGACTTTTATTGGAATAAAGGCAGAGTGGCATGGGGCAGAAACATCAAGCTTCACCATCGGCGTCTCTTGCATTAGTATGGAATAGAAGGGGTAGAAATCTTGTCTTATAAGAGGAAAGAGATCAATTTGTCAAAAGAATTTTTATCCTAGATGGGTTTGAAGTGGGTGGTTGGTGGTGCACTATAAAGGCCATATTTGAGCTCACTGATACGCCTCTAAAAAATCTTTTTATGAGGAACCAAGAATGCGTCGTCTCAGCCACACTCTCTAATCAGAACCAAATTGAATCCTCTCATTTATATTTTAACTACCTGAATTGTAAACAAATTTACCACTTCAATATTCCGATCACAGAGATAAAGTCATATGCGGAGGTGTTGGGCTCAGCTATCGTTAGCCCTAAGCGGGCAAGGAAGAATGTACCTGACCTGACCCGGAAAGCCAACAACCCGGCTTTTGAAATTAAAAAAAGACAGGCTCAAGCGGGAAATTGCAAAAGGCCTACACAACTTCAGCCCATGCGAAATCTGCTCAACTTCATAAGCCTAGGTACACTTGGATGGAAAAAGAAAAATGGACTAATCAGGCTGGTCCAAGTCGAACGCCTAAAAAGAAAGCCAGCCCGACTTGGGTGAATCAAAAGGTGAAATGGACGTGGAGAGAAAAGGTAAAAGATCCTCACCCGAACCCGAGCCAGAACCCAATCCCGTCCTCTACTAATTCGGAGCAGCAAGAGGCCACTTTACTCGATGAGATTTCGCTCTCTCCTAAACAGCCCCCTAACCCTAAACCTTATCGTGACATGGCTGCTGATGTCCTCTGTTTAAATTCCTGGGGTGCTGAACCCGTTTTACCTTGCAGCCCATCCATGTGCATGGAAGAAGAGAAACTTTCTGGTCTGGATTTCGCAATGGTGGTGCATCAATCTGCACATGAGTACACCCTTGTGGAGGTCGAAGTCACAAGCAACGACAGAGTTTTGACTGAAGTCATTAAGTTTTTAGACACTTCTGAAAGATAAGAACAGATACGATCATCAAATTTTCTCTGACTGGATCACTCAAAACATTTTCTGTATCAGCAAATTTCTTGGGGCTTCCTCCTTTGGGTGTGAAATGGAAGCTAAAACCCTATTCTTGGAGTTGGAAAGGAAGCTTGGTACTTGCAGAAGTAAGCCTTTGTTGCTTCAGGATGATAAGAAAAAGCATAAAGAAAATGGGTCCAGAGAACTAAAGCACCTTCAGTCTTCTATCAATTACGAGGGTCAAAGTAAGAAATCTAAAGAAACAGGTGTTCAACTTACTTAGATTAAATAATTGACAAAATTATATCACAGAATGTCAGAGGTCTTAATGACCATAAGAAAAGGCACATCATATGGTGCTGTCTCAGTAGATGGAAGCCAACTATTATTTGTCTTCAAGAGATTAAAATGGAAATCATCACCGATAAAAGGATTGGCAGTATTTGGAGAATGGTTGATGTTGATTGGAAATTTCTACCTGCTAAAGGCGCTGCTGGAGGCATTCTGATTATGTGGAGAAAAGACAAAGCACAGCGTCTGGATGTCATCTCAGGTGAAACTTCAATCTCTTGTCTTTTTTCTAACAACAACAATGATTCTTGGTACTTCTCTAGAGTGTATTGTAGAGGCAATCCGGCAGAGCGTTCTCTACTTGAAGAGGAGTTAATCCGTGTCAGAAATAGCTGGGGAGAGAAGGGTATTGTTTGTGGGAACTTCAACATGGTTCTTAAATCTTATGAAAGATCAGGTAGTAGTTCTTCAATCAACGACATTGATGAGTTCAGGGTCTTAATTGACAAGCTTGATCTTAATGACCTACCCTTAAAAGGGGGGAGGTGGACCTGGAGCAACCAAAGGAGCCATCATTCATTCTCAAGAATAGACAGATTTCTTATCTCATCAGAGTTGCTCTTGGAGTTATCTGGTGTAAGTCAAAATGTCCTTTCTAGAGCTACCTCTGATCACTTCCCATCTCTCTTTCTATGGATAGAATTAAATGGGGCCTTGTTCCTTCCGCCTGGACAACAAATGGTTGAGTCTTGACAGTTTCAAAAAACTTGTCACTGACACCTGGACTAATACTTTCACCGAGGGGACTATGAGCTTCAGAATTGCTACCAAGCTCAAGGTCATAAAGCAGGAAATTAAAAAGTGGGTTAAGGAAACTGGTCGGAAAGAAGAAGAGAGTATTACTGATTTGATTTCTGAAATTGATATCCTGGACGGAGAAGAAGAATGTGGTAATCTTATTGACACGGGTAGAGAAAGAAAATGTTCCCTGAAAGCTGACCTAGCCAAAAAATTGCATATGGATGCCATATTCTGGAAGCAAAAAGCAAGAAAAAAATGGCTTTAAGATGGAAATAAAAACTCCACGTATTTCTATTTGTTAGCTAATCACAGAAGGAGAGTGAATTTTATTGAAGAACTGGTCATGCAACGCAACTGTTTCAAAGTAATGAGGCTTTGAGAGAGGGGACTAAAGACTACTTCCAGAAGCTATTTGCGGAAGATTTTGACTTGAGACCTAAACTTGACAACCTTTCCTTCAACAGCCTTACTGAAGCCCAAAAATCTCAACTTAAAGAGGATTTCACCGAGGAGAAAATTTGGTCCTGCCTAAAGAACTGTGAGGGGGATAAAGCTCCGGGACCGGAACTTCAGATTTCTTTAAACCTTTTGGGAGGTAATCAAACTGGACATTCTTGAGTTTTTCAGTGACTTTCACTCTCATGGTTCTTTTGTCCGATCTCTCAACTCTACCTTCCTAGTGATGATTCCAAAGAAAGCTCAAGTCAGGAACATCAACGAATACTGTCTTATAAATCTCATTGGTTGCATTTACAAATTGCTATTAAAGGTACTGGCTAACAGGTTGTCCATGATGCTTCATCACATCATCAGTAATTGCCAACACGCATGTCATTCTTATAGCTAATGAGGTGGTGGACGACATCTTCCGACACAATAAGGAAGGTATCTTATGCAAATTAGATATGGAAAAAGCATTTGATCATGTTAACTGGCAATTTCTTGATTACATGCTTCAGAGAATGGGTTTTGAAAGCAAATGGAGAAAATGGATCAAAACATGTGTCACAACTACTAGTTTTTCTGTAATGGAAAAAGGTTATCAATTGCAAGTGATATAACAACAATCTCCATGATCTTACTAATCAGGAATTATGGTTTGAGTTTGTGGAGAAATATCATCACATGAATGGTACTGTTTTGGGCCGCTCTAAATGGTCTATCGGCAATGGGACAAAAATTCGTGTCTGGGAGGATACTTGGTGCAGTACAGAGAAATTCATGGACAGATTCCCTCTTATCTATGCCTTAGCTATAAATAAATCTGCCACTGTTAGAGAAGCTGCTGGTTTTGATGGCTATGTTTCCTGGAATATCCCGATTGCGAGGAACCTTAACTATTGGGAATTAGAACAGTATGAATTTTTACTTCTCATCTTGGCCAGAATTTTTCTTAATGACAATGATGATAAACTATTGTGGAACCTCAAGAAGAATGACCACTTCTCTGTCAAATCACTATCTTACTTTCTGGATGGCCACAACTAGAATGTTCCTATAACCTTTCCCTCCAAGATCATCTGGAATTCTGGTGCTACCCTAAGGATTTCTTTTTTTACTTGGGAGGCCGCCAACAAGAGGATTCTCACCTTGGACAATTTGATGAAAAGAGGTCACTTTATTGCAAACAGATGCTTCCTATGTAAAAATGCCCTGGAAACCTGCAATCATCTTCTTTTTCGATGCCCGACTACTCACAATCTTTGAAACATGATTCTTGGACTGTTGGGAGTTTCTTGGGCAATAGTAGAAAATGTTTGTACTGAACTGATGGCCTGGGAGGGTTTAGGCAGCAAGAATAAATCTATTAGACTCATTTCCCTTACTATTTTTTGGGTCATCTGGGAAGAAAGAAACAACAGGACTTTTGATGGGATTGAGTCTGATTTCAACAAAGTTAAGGACAACTGGTTTCATTACTTTGGTTCTAACTTGTTGGGGCATAAACTTGATTGTCTTGATGATCTAGTTGACATTGTAGATATACTAACTGAGTTGTAAATTTTGTACATGGGTGGTGCTCCCTTAGCACCTTATACCAATACAAGCTTCATACTTTTATTTCAAAAAACTATTATGCTAGATGTGGGATGCTCTATATTATGAGCTTCAATCTTTGACTCCTTTACACACTTAGTAGGATGCCTGGATGCAAACTAGGCAGAATGAGTTGACACCAATATCCACCAAAGTGTATTGCATTTTTCTTGGCACCAATTTGATCTTTTGGTGTTCCAAGAAGCAGACTATGGTTTCTCATTCTAATGCATGAGGCAGAATGGCTAGTTTCTAATATATCCTTGTTCCATAACATGCTTAGGGAGCTTCATTTTGCTTCATCAAAACTTTCTATCTTAGTTTATGATAATGTTACCACTACTCATATGGCTGCTAACCTGATCAATTCCAAACATATTGAATTGGATATGCACTTTGTTCGATGAAAAATACAAGCAGTACATTTAGTTGTACTATATGTTCTCAGTCAATATTAGTTAATTGATATTTTCACCAAGGGCTTTTCTTTGACAAGATTCAATCACTCGCCATCTACGCATGTTATATTGAACAACTTATATTTGGTAAATGGATAAATATACTCTTATATTTAATCTATTATTATATTTGCCATATAGTTTGTGTTTACCGCTTGTACTTTTTATCATCAGACTCAACAACCTAATCCCAATTTAGGTAAGAAAATCATCTTGAATATTTTTTCAGTACCTGTACAATTACTACTTCTGTTATAGCATGAATGGTCTATATTTTCGATAATTTATTTATTTATTTACCTTTAATACTGTAAATCTTGACATAAATCTGGATTTTAAATTTCTTCAATGGTCAGAGTGGAGTATGTCCTAGAAATTTTGACAAAGGAGACTGGGATTAGTTAGGGGTCCTTTAGGTTCAATCATTTTTGCTTGCTTGTTTTGCAGCCCCTGATTGAAAGTTTGCCTGGTTGTTCTGGGATGATATGGTATTGACATTTAACAATTTGTCATTAGTTTTGGGAAGAAAACTGGCAACAGTTTTCCACTTCAGGAAAAGAAAAAGGTTTAGGTATATGGTCATGCTGCCAAATTGGTTCGAAATTTGATAGTTATTAGAACATCAAAAGCCAGGACGTGGCAGTTTATCTCTCATCAAATCTTCCTCTCTGATTGACCATTGGGGCAAGGGTGCTCAAAAAATGTAGTTGAGAATAAGAATAATTTAATGGTCATGGTCCAGCTAATTTGCTGCTCGAGTATTGTTACAATCCTAAAGTGAATTGAAGGTTTAACTGTTTGTTCCAGGTTGTAAATTTCAAGGTTTTAATTGTTTAAGTAAAAATATGGTTCTCTCTTTTCATTTTAGAAAACAGGGTTTAAACTTTAAGGTGTGTAGATTTTATGGTTTTTAGCATGTACGGACACATATTTACGATGAAGATTTATACACAGGATCTAAGCTGCTGTTTGTTTGGTATCTTCTTCTTGCAGTAGATTTTCTCTTTTTCAAACTAATTACTCATATGCCATCCTGCATGTTTCTTTTTTTTTCATGATTCTGAAAGTTGCCCAGGTATCCAACTCCTTGTAATTAATCATGCAAAGCCTTCAATTAAAAGTGGTTTTGCGTCACCAATTACACAAAAAAGCATTTCTTTTATGAGAAAGTGGGTGGGGCCTTGCATCCCTAGACAAAAAAAATTTGATTGTTAGGATGCTGTTCAATGAGAAAATAACTGGCATTAAAAGAAGATTTAAGTGCTTAAAATGCTTTTTGTTTTTGAGCTGAGTAGATTTATTGATGAGCTTTGTACAGGTAACAGCAAAATTTAAGTGTGTGGCTCGGGTTGTGGCATCATTTCCATGGCGAGCAGAAGATTTCCGTTCTCCCAGTGGGATTTACAGAATTAGGTTTACCCTAGAGGATCCAACTGCCAGAATCCATGCTTATGTGTATGGTGAAGATGGGGTAAGAGCTGCTACTAGATTTGTTGTTTTCAATTTGTCAGTGCGGTGTCCATTTTCCAACAGTTTTACGAAGACATCGTGTCCTTCCTTTTTGATTCTCTTTCTATTAATTTCCTTGGGTCATGATTCTAAATTTGACATGCATCTTTGGTAGGAGAGGCTATTTGATGGTTATCCCTCTGTTGATGACTTGAGGAAGAAGCGAGACAAATTGTTGGGATTAGCAGGGAGTAACAATCAACAGGAAAGTGAGAATGCTCCTAGAAATCCACCATGGGTGCAAATTTGTCTTAAATCTTACTACCTTGATAAGCAGAAACCATGGGAAACCAGGAACTACAGAATATTTGGCACCCAAATAGTCAGCTAGTTGACTCAATGACTAACGCATAATGTTACTGTAAGTTTATAATACTAGTTGTACGCCCTAGTGCTATAACTGTTAGGTTATCTAAATGTTCAGATCTTACAACTAAAAAACTAGTAATATATGGTTAATATTGTAAGCTTGAAGTTATTAAATATACCCCTTAACTAATGCACTTAGTTTTATTACTATATGTACATAGTTTATCTAATATTAAATAGATTTTGATGAGCTAATGTTAGATATTTGAGCTTGAGACATTTTTAGATATAGTTGACTTATATTTCCATTATTATATTCTAGATGAATAGATATGTATTGATGAATTTTCCATTATATTATTTGCAGATCTGTGAACTCAGTCATATCTGGTATCTCTCTCATTTTCTTTCTGTTTCTGGCTCTGCTTGATTACTTGGTTCTGGTCTAGACAACCTGATAAAATATTGGTCGGTATGAAATAATTAAGATTGTCTTAGTTTCGTTAAAAAAAAATTTCTTAAGTCAGAGTGAAGGTTCAATTTCTATAAGCTTAAATCCAGCCATTAAAATCCAAAAAGCTGATGTCTGAAAATAGACTGATTTTCTTTTAGGTACTTTCACCCATTTAAGAAGGATAGTTTTTATTAAACAAATCAATTTAGTCATCTTTATCCCAACTGCTTCTAAATTTATTTGTCAAAGCAACTGTTTTTTTTTTTTTAATGTTGTGTTTATCCTAATTAAAAGAATTTAATTTTTACATAATGTTCATAATTTTCACGTAATGTTCATTTCGTCTGTAAGTATAATAAATTTATTAAAACTTAACTCAATTTTGTAAAGATAATATCACTAACACACTAGTGAGTTAAGTATTTGATTTTACTAAAACAAGTATTATGAAATAGTTATTGCAATTTATAATATATCTATAAAGTGTGAACTCTACATATTTAATGAAATTCTGACTCTAACTTAGTAATGGTTTATGTACTTGCTCATATAATGTATACATAAATCACAGACAAATATGTAACTGTCTTGGAAATTCAAAAAAAAAATATAATAATTTAAGTGCGGAAGTGAAATAAAAGGTTAAGGTTTACATCCCTTACACAATAAATTAAAAGTACTAAACAAATATTACGGAATGAATTCTCTAAAAGAAACACGAAAAATAAGAAAAGTAATAGAAAATAGAAAGTATTTAGCATCTACTCGCAGTCTTCTTGCGGATCGAGCTCTGAAATCAGGTTCTCTTGATCTGAAATGGTTAAATAAAGGATGAACTACATTAGCCCAATAAGAATATTACACTATATCACCCGCACAGAAGCAAAGGTGGGTATAAAATCAAAACAACTAATGGAGCACTAAATTTAGAAAATTCGTTTATCAATCATAAAATCATTTACCGTTCACTTACCATAGTGGAATTTAAGAAAACAATTTACAGAAACAATAATACCATACAGATCATAACTTTATGAACAATCAGTAACATATAACATATCATAGATTCATATCCATTAACAATAAACCAAATCATAACCGTTTCTCATTTCACAAACCTACTAGTATCCATGGGGGTTCATAGGGATGTCCTCGCTACACGTGAACCCTTTTCTTTAACAATCTCAATTACATGGTCGTCCTCATACCCCGTCCGGTATGAGTATCAAGACATTAAACCTCAATACCTGTCCGGTATGAAGGTGAAGTGGATCGTCCCCATACCCCGTCCGGTATGAGTGCCAAATTACACCGTCTCCATACCCCATTCGGTATGAAACAACGTTCACGGTAGGGTTCCCCATGTACCCAGTCCGTCTACAATCTCTCAAGATATCTAGTAAGGCTGCCATTCTATTTGTTTATTTGATCACACCCCTTTTCTGTTTTCCTTCAGTTTCCATTACCAAATCAAATATAATCACATAAACAAATAAACATGCATCCGGTAATGCAATCATGTCTCAAATCCCAAATCAAACAATGGTCAGGTAAGACAGTAATACATGCATCTAAACCATAAAATAAATAAATCAGATACTGTCATACTTTTAAACTGTAAAATAAATCAATAGAGAACAGTGTCTGATTCGGGCTCCATTAGCAATCCGTAATTAATTATGCATATATATTTAATTTGTACAAAATACCGTATTATTATTTATTTAAACTTTAATTTTATGATAAGGAATAGGGTAAGAGGTTCTTACTCGATTTGATGCTGAAAAGCTAAACAGTTTACTGCGCCTACTGACGGTCCCTAGATTCCTTAAATTTTTCTCTGGAAACTGAAACGTGCTTATAGTATCTACAAATGTTTCAAATAAACTCAAAATCATTCTCAGGGCCCGTTCGGCCAATTTCGAAAATTCAGCACGGAGCCGGCGTCGACACTGCTGCCAGCGGTGGCTCTGTCGTGCTCCAGCAGCGGTCCGCCTCGGGTTGGCCATTTTTGACTGAATTCGGCCGATTTTGTATCAATTCTTGCGAGCACACACGCTAAAGGGCCTCGATGAGCAAAAAAAATACAAAAAATTGAAACTCACCGGTGGCGGGGCTCTTCGGTGCGACGGCTCCTCCAGCTCACATTGCGGTTAGGTGTTTCCCTTCGGTCAATCTGTAGAGAAAAAAACGGTGATCACAATGGTAGAAAAATTACGCGAAACGGGAATCAGGAAGGGTCTCATCGGAGGCAGTTTGTGAAATTCTCCACAACGGTGGCATCGGGCTTCATCGGTGTTTTCCGACCAATTGGCCTGTTCTTTCACTTCGATTTGGCCATGAGTGTGTTTAAAATTCTGGGGTGGCGGTCAGTTCTGGCGATTAGGGTTTGTGTGCGGATGAGATTATTTATACTCATCCGCTTTTGATATAAACTGTTCATCGTGTTTGATCTGCACCGTTCGATCGCGATTAAATAGGAAATGAATCTAGGCCGTTCATCGCAATTCAATCTTGGTCGTCCGTGCGCGATTTACTTTGGACCGTCTGTGTGCGCGGAAACGGATCTCAGTCGTTCGATCGCGCACACACAGATCGCCCACATGGCTCCCCCCGCGTGATCTCCTTTATCAGCGCCTTTGCCACTTGGCGCGTTCTGCTTGGTCGGGGCTGCTGATTCGGACGTCTAACGTGGCAAATTTTTTTTAAATTATGTTTTGATCTCCGGTTTTTTATTTTTCTTTTAAAAATACTCAACGAACTCAACTTTTTACCTATTTTTTTTAAAATTGTTTTCAATTTAATCATTAATAAATTTTTACTTATTTTTTTATTAAATTAAAATAAAATAAAATATAATAAAATAAAATAAATAAATAAATAATTACATTTATTAATAAAAAATTAAAAAAAAGAGGTTTTGGTGGGTGTTACAAAATACATGTGGACAAAATTTACTTAAAAGCAATAAAATATTTGAAAGCTTTAATATTTAGACAATATAGTGAAATTTGTTAACCAATGTGTGAATATATTGAATTTTCCATGGGTCCTATCATTTATTTTAATATAATAATATTTAATTTATAATAATTATATACATTTAGTAGAATTATAGTAATAAAATTGACTTACATTTTAACAAATTTATTATATTTTTAAGTAAAAAAAAAAACTTCTGTGTTAATTAAATTTTTTAGTTGAAGTAGTTTAAAAATTTGAGATGAATTATGATTATAACTAATATAAACTTAATATTAATTAAATATTATTTGATTATATTATTTTCTTGAGTTATATGCTCATTATGTTAGAATTTCATTTGTCTTACTGCACTGGGGGACAAAGGCTTCTACAATGATTTGTTAATTCTTATATGGTTGAATAAAGCTGGCAGATAATCATATACAATTTTTTTCTTAAAGTGAATTAGTTTGCTTTATATTTAGGGTATTCAATTGTTTGGAGTTGGATTAGGTTGGACTAAGATCAAACTCAAATATGAAAAGGGATGGCCGACAATTGAATTGTTTCTAACTCCGATTCAATTTCTTCTAATTAGAAAAGTTCTTATTTATTATAAGTCATTGATATTATTAAATTAAATATTATAAATCGGCAGCTGTCAATTCATAATATATTTATAAAGTAATAAATACTATTTATTCCGTTAGGTTTAAAGTCGTGTGTTCAAGAAAAGCGTAAAAATTTTAATTGCTAGCTTGCCGTGTTAGTGATTCTTGATTTCGTCCGTTGTTGCTAATTAATTTTTATGCGAGATAAACTGAATAACTTTTACAACTAATAGTTTAATATTATGATATAAAGTTGGGTTCTGCAAAATTAGTAGTTACATGAATTATTAACATCTCAACATAATATAAAACTAATTGATATTATATATATAGTTAACATATGAATAGATGGAGGTTGCCAAAGTTTCATTAAATTCTCAATGCTGCATATAAGTATATTAACAAATACTTATATCAGTATACAAAAGATAAATAAAAAAATAACTGGCCGCTTTAAAAAATTAAAGCACTGCTTCATCTTGTAGTGTAGAAATTAAAAGTTAAAGGGAAAAAAGAAGAAAAAAAAAAAGAAAAATAACCAACCCTCAAACACAGATCAGATTGCTGCTGCAATATTTCAAGACCCTTTTAAGCCTTATAATTCATATCAAGCCAGCTTCTCTCATCAGTTTAATGATTCAGTTCAAGTACAATAACTTATATAAGTACTATATTATGCTTTATCATTTATAAGAGCTCATCTACAAGGGACTTGCCATGGAATTTTTCAACCTTGGATTTGAAAGTCAAAATGCTCTTGTTCAACCGAGAATACTCGAGCTCAAGCTCCCTCAGGCTTGCTTTGGTCTCTGTGACCCTTTCCCGAGCTTCCTCAACCGCCTTCTCTTTCTGAGCCAACTCTTCCATCCGATCTTCGAGTTCCTTCTTGGTTGACTCCAAATCATGTTTGCAGTTTGCTTTTGTTGATTCCATTATTTGGCACTGACTGTTGAGTTCTGTGGCTAACAAGAGTTCATTGAGAACATCTCGAAGCCATTCAACTTCAATTTTTGCAGATTCTACATCATTAAGAACAGCAAGCATTTCCCGAACTTTAGATTTGGTTAACTGGTTAAACGAAATGGATTTCAGCTCTTGAACCACAGAGCACAAGCATTCTAGATAATAACCCCGCATGGAAACTGATTCCAATTGGCAGCCTGCAGCAATGTCTCCGTACTTATCAAAGATGGATTCTAGGATGGAAGAGACACCTGCTCTGACATGGTAGTTTCCAACCGAGACACAGGAATCGGAAATCACGGATTGGATTTCTTCGTCATCACTGTCCTCCTGTGAGCGGAGAAGGCCTAAGAAACTAAAGCTCCTAGCTATGTCGCTTACCACAGGTGAATCATAATGCTTTTTTTCATCCTTCTCTAGCTTGTTTGGTGTTTGACCAAGAATGCCATTCATACTATTTTTTGGAGAGCTTTTATGATGATCAGGCTGCCAAAGGAATACTCAAAATTGGTAAAAAGGATATTTTTATGAAATGAAGATAATGAAAGACAGAATTTAAGCTAAATACCGTGCCATTTGCATATATAGGAATTGTTTCAGGAGCTTGATTCTGCTCCTTGTCAAAAGATTGTTCTCGAGAATAGATGTCTCCATCACGTTGCTCAGCCGAGGAAAATGACTCGTAATTCCCTGATTCAACATTTTTCTTTGCAGGAGAATGTGATGGAGGTGATGGAGCTTTTGCAGGGTGTCCCACACTTGATTCATGGCTGCCATCTGATGAGTGATGAGAATTCGAATTAGATTCAGATTCCTTCTTTTTCTTACCAAAGGTTCTTGAGATCTCAAGAATCTTGGAGCCTGAAACAGTGAGGTACCAAAGCTAGGTGAATTACAAATTAAATTGAGAAATATATTGTTTTTAGACCCATAAATGGGTAGGAAATGATTTACTGATATAGATACTATCCATATATGTAATTTTAGCGTAAATTCAATCAGAATAAACCAATGGTTATTGGTTTATTTTCCCTAAGAAATTTCATCTTTAAGGCAAGAGCTGTATCCTCCCTATTGTCATGCAACCACAATATGAACTAGATAACTGTAGTCTCCTAATCTGGATGCTACGAAAAGTGAGTCGAGAGATCAATATTAACCACAGAAAGCCATGAGTATGAAGTTTTTATATTTCCTAGATATCACCAAGGTGGATATGTCATTTTGAAACAGAAAACCTAATACGTCTCAGTCTACGACTACTTTTAAAGCTGAATCTCAGAAAAAAACATGTCAAGGTTGTTTCAATAATGCCTCTATTTTTATAATACAGTTACTTTCACTTTCCTCATGCTATATCTTTAACATGAACTGCCTGTCCTTATCTCTAATCTCATAATCACTGTAGGTTGCTCCCAATGAAAATAATTAAATTGGTGTTTTTATAGTTATTTCCAGCATTTCCATGGGTGCAAACATGAAAAGAAGAGGGGTGGCGGGGACCTGAATCATTTTTAATCCCCCGAGTATCAGATCCAGCAGTTCTTTTGGAGCAATTGGCATCACATTCATGGTAAGGATTAGATGCCCTGGTGCAAGACGAGCGCACTCTTCTCTCCTCATCCTTCCCCTTGCTAAGCTCACCTTTTTTACCTCTGCTACTGTCTAAAAAAGTTACAAAATAAAAAATTTACACGAGTGTCCACAAGTCAACGAAACCCAGACAAGTTCAGACAGTCTCTATGTGAACAAATTTATTTGGATAATTATTACTCGAGACATATCTAGGATTGAGTTAAAACAAAATCAATTTCAAGTCTTTGACGGGACTTACCAACATATCCAATATACTCAGTCTAGACTAAGGCTTGATAATTACCAAGAACTTGTACTTAAATGAAGAGAAAAAGAAAAGATGCAAAATGTTACTTTTTGATAACACCTACTTCAATTAATAGAAGGTAAAAATGAATGAGAATCAATTGCCGGAGTACTTTACAAGCCAGTTCCAATGACTTGGTTTGATCAATTAGTTTCACAAATGAGTTGTCATATTGTGTTAATTCTATAATCTGCAATAGACCCGATATATTCAGTTTCCTCCTTGTAAGTGACACGGACATGGGAAGGCTATGAACCAAATAAAGTGGACCAAACTTTTGCTTGTCTTCATTACATGTAATATCTAATGAAAATACATTGAATTGATGCAGGATCAGCCCCATATTAAACTGAAACATTAGAAAGGCTCGTGCATTTTAGATAACACGTATTTTGATTTTAAAAAAAAAAAAAAACGAGAAAAGGCCAATCCATAAAACTGTAAGTTATATGGGTGGGTCTAAGAAAACTTATCAAAAGGTTCAAAACAAAAATCCAAAATGCACCAATCTAATACTTCCAGAAACTACCTACTCATAGGCCTTGGATGAAAGCGGAATATGATATGAAGTACAGAAATCGAAAGATAACAAAACAAAAACAAAAAGAAAGACAATTACCAGTCTTTTTGACATCTTTTCTTCCCTTGCCTTGAGAAATTTTCTCTATACAGCTAACACCACATTCATGGTAGGGATTTGAAGCATTAACACAATTCGGGTGTACTCTTCCATTATCCATCTCCTCCTGAGAACCAGAGAAAAACATTCCTTACACCCAAACACGTGATAAACTTGAAACCTTCACCTTACCTATAAATCCTTTTCTTAAAACTGAGAGTTTAACTTTCCAGAAAGTCTCTGATTTTCCAACCCAATTTCAATAAGAACAAAAAACTTTTTTCCAAGGAGCCAATCAGGAATTTCTAACTAAGCCTCATGACAACGAATAATAATTAAAAGAAAACAACATAGAGAAAAGAATAATTCCAAAAGTAGCGGAGAGCAAGTCATTTTCACCCAACAACATTTCATCTATCTTTTTCTCCATTTCCAATAGGCAAATGAAGAAAGAATAATTACCTTAGAGTTCTACAATACCCACCAGCATCGAATAATCAAAGTTGTTGATGATCAAAACAATACCCACCAAGTCAAAACACAAATTGGAAAACGATTCAATTGAAGAGGAGAAAAGGAAAAAAAACCCAATATAAATTAACAGGCACCTAACAAGCAACCATCAACCAATTAATTACAAGAACCCATTTGTGGACTTGACCAGTCACCGGTCGCTTCTTTTGACTAAATAAAAAAGCTATTACCAAAAGTCAACATAGAAGAACCCAGCAAAAAAAAAACCCAACTTCCCAATTTTTTTCTTTTTCTCTTTCCTCGAAATTCCCATCAATCAACACAAGGCGGCTCCCAAAAACCAGAGAAGCCGTCGCCAATTCTATCTTCAATTGATGAGAAAACCCATGCTCTGATATAACAATTTCCAAGTGGACAAGTAACAATACCCAACAAAACCAAAAGCAGGAAAGGATGAAGTTACCGGAAGAGTCGAAGGAAGACGAGAAACAGAGATGGCGGATGACCTGTGTTTTTGGTTTCTAGACAAATATATTGCAGGTGCAGAAGTTTGGTGTGTAGTTTATATAAACCAGTGTCCAAAACTATTGGGATTTTCGAAATTTGACGTTTTTGGAGGTTGAAAAAGTTAAAATCTTGTTTAGCATTATTGAAAATAGACGAAGAAAACATGAAACAAACAAAGCAAAAAAAAGGATAAAGAAAGCCGGTGCGATGGCGACGTGTAAAAGGACACCGGCAACCGGCCACCTACCATTACCGAGTACCAACCCACTTACAGCGAGTGCTTGGATTAATTATCCATTACTCACAGTTAAAAGTGTTTTTGTGGTTCCATTGGGTTTGTAAATTGCAATAAAATAACCACCGCATTATATGTTTGTTTATTTTTTTAATGATGAAATTATATATTTATTAGGTATAATTTTATATTTATTGTTAACGAATAGAAAATAGTAGTAATTCAAATTAGCTTTTGTGCTTGGCCATTGGTATTCTAAATTTTAGTGTTAATATTATAGTTTTGTTATTTTTATTAAAAATTAATTTTGTACAATATTTAATAGGTCTGTATTTAATTTACGTTTTTAATTTAAAAAATTTATTTACGAATGAATGTGTTAATGTATGAATAATTGATTGAACTATTTGTTATTAGTTTAAAATTTTTAGAATAATACATTCAATTAATGGTTTAAGAGTGAGGAAGAGTTCGTGGAACAGTAGTCGTAGACTGGTTATTTTGTCTTTATCTCTTTCTTGTTTCGAATTATTTTCGCACCGAAAATAGAATTTTCTTTGCGGAGTTTTGCATGTGACGTGATTCTTTTGTTTTTTGTTTTTTTTTTACCTTTATTTCATTCTCTTATTTACTCGTTGTATACCTTAATTTCTTCTAAACCCTTATTTTTCCTTCTCTACCATTCTAAACATTTTTTTTTTCTCATGGTCTCAATCTTATTTTCAAATCTCAAAATGATTTTTGCTTACTTTTGTAGTTTATAATTGTCTTTGATTTTTCTTTAAAAGTTCTCAAAATCTTCTTCCCTCTTTTAATCTTTCTTTTTTTTTTAACCTTTATTTTTTCTTCTTGTTTGCTCGTTGTATGCTTTATTTTTTCCTAAACCTTTATTTTTTCTTTTCTGACATTCTAAACATTTTTTTCCCAAGTTCTCAATCTCATTTTCAAATCTCGAAATGACTTTCACTTACTTTTATAGTTTATAATAAGCCTTTGATTTTTCCTTAAAAGCTCTCTATATCTTCTTCCCTCCTTCACTCCCTCTTCTTTCTTTATAAGCTCCTAAACTATTCTCTCGATTTTCTTCTTCTTCTTTTCCTAATTTACAAGTGTCTCTCCTAAACTATTCTCTCGCTTTTCTTCTTCTTCCTCTTCTTCTCCGAATTCATAAGGGTCTATCCAAAACGCTCGCTAATTCAAAACCATATATATAATATATTATTCAATAATTTTCTTTTCTACTAAATAACATAATTTTATGATTGTGTATCTATTTACTAAATAATACTATTTAAACTATATAATTAATAACACCAATAAAAATGATCAATCTAATCTATATAAATTATCATTTATAGTTTATTAATGATTTTATCATTTTATCGTGTTTCAACATATTTATTTACTTGGATTTAATGAGAAAAATCTCAACTTAAGATCAAATAATATGATCATTAAATATATTATATAGATTTTTTTTGTGATCCCCAAATATAATTTATCTGATAATCAAGAATTTGGTCATTACATAAAAACTAAGATGATATTTTGAATAAAATAACACATTACTATATATATATACACACACACACACACACGTTTATGGATACATTACAATGACAACAAAGACCCTAAAAAAAGAAAAAAGACTTGAGAGAAGACCACTACAAATAAATGAAAATTTGTATTTCATGAAATTAAAATGTTATTAATTGCAAAATTTTATTTTCGTTACTAATAAACATCTTATAAACATTATATACAATGCATGTATTGAATATGTTTAAATTCATTAAATCATATTAAACGAAAAATAATTAAATTAATTTTACACACAATATGCATATGTTAACTTAATTATAAAAGTAGCTAATATTTTTTTAATCATATAACTTGAAATGGTGAAAATTAACATTTATATATAAGATTAATAATTAAGTTTATTTTATGTATTGAAAGAGAAAATTTATGACCAAATTTTACTTGTTAGAAATTCTGTGATTAGATTTAATCATGTGACAGTTGATAAAATATATATTTTTTTAATTTTGACCAATTTAAACAAATTCAAATAAAAAATAAATTAAAAAAATTTATTTTAATTGTAACACCCGGGTCTGAAATTTAGGTATGATATTGTTACACCCAACTAAAATTTTATTTTTTATTTTTTATTAATAAATAATTTTTTTAATTATTTAATTTATTTTATTATATTTTGTTTTATTTTAATTTAATAAAAAAAATTAGATAAATTGATAAAGGATTAAATTGAAAATAAGTTTAGAAAAAAATGGTAAAAATTTGGGGTCAAAACGCAATTTAAAAAAATTGCACCACGTCAAACATCTGGACAGCAGCCCCGACCAAGTAAGACGCACCAAGTGGCACAGGCGCTGACGCAGGAGACCACGTGGGGGGAGCCACATGGGTGATCCGCATGCACGCGATCGAATGGCTGAGCTCTGTTCTCGCGCGCACGGACGGTCCAGAGTGAATCGCGGACGAACGACCTAGATTAAATCGCGATGAACGGCCCAGATTCACTCCTTATTTAATCACAATCGGACGGTTCAGATCAAAAGCGATGGACGACCCAGATCAAAAGTGGATGGGTATAAATAACCCCATCCGCACCCAAACCCTAACCCTAGCCGTCAGAATCCCTCGCTGGAAAAAACAACCCGGCCGCTGAGGAGCCGACCACCGCCACCCACCGCCGCACCGGAACCCTTTCCGATCACCAAAAAAGGTAAAATTTCTCCTTTTGCACGAAATCAAATTTTAAACTCACCCATGGTCAAATTGGTGTGAAAGAATCGACCAATTGGTCGGAAAACACCGCCTAATCCCAGCGGCACTGCTGCGGAGAATTTCACAGACCACCTCCAATGAGGCCCTTCCCGATTCTTGTTTCGTGTAATTTTTTCACTGTTGTGATCACCGTTTTCTTCTCTACTGGTTGACTGAAGTAAAAAACCCAACCGTAACGTGAGCCGGAGGAGTCGCTGCACCGAAGAACCCTACCGCTGGTGAGTTTCAGTTTTTCGTATTTTTTCGGCCCACCGAGGCCCTTTAGCGTGTGTACTTGCAGGAATCGATATAAAATCGACCGAATTTGGCTGAAAACGACCGACTTGAGGCGAACTGCCGTCGCGGATGGCGGCACCATCGCCGGAGCACGACAGCTTAATTTTTAAAATTGGCCAAGTAGGTCTTGGGGACTGATTTTTGGGTTTATTTGGGACATTTGTAGGTACCATAAGCGTGTTTTAATTCTCAGAGAAAAATTCAGGGAACCTAGGGACTGCCCGTAGGCGCAGTAAACCATTTAGCTTTTCAGTGTCAAATCAAGTAAGGACCCCTCACTCTATTTCCTATAATAGATTTGAAGTTTGAATGAATAATAATACGATATTTTGTACAAATTAAATAGATGTGCATAATTAATTACGGATTGCTAATGGAGACCAAATCCGGACATTGTTCTCTGTTGATTTCTGTTGATTTATTTTACAGTCTAAAAGTATGATGGTATCTGATTTATCTGTTTTATGGTTTAAATGCATGTATTACTGCTTTACTTGACCACTGTTTGATTTTGGGATTTAAGATATGATTGCATTACCGGATGCATGTTCATTTGTTTATGTGATTATATTTGATTTGGTAACGGAGACTAAGGAAAAACAGGAAATGGGTGTGATCAAATAAACAGATAAGATGACAGCCTCACTAGATATCTTGGGAGATGGTGGACGGACCGGGTTCATAGGGAACTCTACCATGAACGTTGTCTCATACCAGACGGGGTATGGGGATGACCCGCTTCACCCTCATACCGGACGGGGTATTAAGGTTTAATGTCTTGGTACTCATACCGAACGGAGTGTGGGGACGACTCTGTAATTGAGATTGTTAAGGGAAAGGGTTCACGTGTAGCGGAGACACTCCTATGGATCCCCATGGATACTAGTAGGCTGGTAAAATGAGAAACGATTATAATTTAGTTTATTATTAAGGAATATGAATTTATGATATGTTCTATGTTGCTGATCGTGCATGAAGTTATGATCTGTATGATATTATTGTCTCTATAGGTTGTTTTCATAAATTCCACAATGGTAAGTGAATGGTAAATGATTTTATGATTGGTAAATGATTTTGCTAAATTTAGTGCTCCATTAGTTGTTTTGATTTTCTACTAACCTTTGCTTATGTGCTGG